CGCCGAACCCATCTACGCCTCTGCCTGGTTGTCTCTTGACTCGAAACACTCCCACAATATAAATACAGCTGCCAATTTTAACTTGTCAAACGTTCATTTTGTCATAAAACAACAAAAAAAGAATTGTCGTGAACAGTTTTGAACTTGTTACCGTTATATTTTTTTCCGGTTCAGTCCCGGTACAGTTCCAAGATATCGACGAATATTTCGGTTCGGTTCAGCTAAAAATAACGGTTCGGTTCCGATTCAGTACTCTGCTTCCAGAACCACGAAGCGGCGGCGGGAAAGGGAGAAGGGGGGGGGGGGGGGACAACACTTTCTAGAAGAGAAGGCCGTAGCGCTCCGAGTGGGCACGTCACAATGGTGGAGGAAGGAAGGCCATGGCGCAACTACGTGAGAAAATGCCGCTGTCGACGCGTATCGGCGCATTAATGTTCGTGCGCGTTTATCCGACATTAATACACGTTTTAAAAGCACAGTCTTGTACAATTTATTATACCGGGTGTTTCTGCGAAGACTTTCAAAAATCCTAAAAATTAGGGCGTTTGAAAAAAGAAGAAACTGTCTTTGGGAACAAACTACCAGACACGGCGGACGTCAGGAATTGCCAAAAACATACTAATTAGCCAGATAATTAATTAAAATTTGTTAATTAACTTTTTAATTAGGGGAAATAGACATATTGTTCCAATTAGAAAGTTGCTGAGCGTTATTGAAAACAACTAAATCAGTCGTTTTCAGAAAGACTTTGAGCGCGTGAGAAGCGTAGTAGCGCACTAAAGTTACCGCTCTTTGAGCAGGTACAAAGCTAACGGTTGCGATAAGGCGCCCGCGCGATTTTTCCGTCTCTTATCTAGCCCCAGCCTTGTACCTGCTCCACGAGTGGTAACTTTAGTACAATACTACGCTTCTCACGCGCCGAAAGTCTTTTTGAAAATGACTGATTTAGTGGTTTTCGATAACGCTCAGCAACTTTCTAATTGGAACCACTTGTCTATTTCCCCCAATTAAAAAGTTAATTAACAAATTTTAATTAATTATCTGGCTAATTAGTAGGTTTTTGACAATTCCTGACGTCCGCCGTGTCCAGAGGTCGGCATTTTAGGACGCCCTCACTCACCCTCACCCTCACAGCCACACTCACCTAAGCCCCTCACTCACCCTCACCCTCACAGCTACACTCACCTTCAGCCCCTCACTGATCCTCACCCTCACAGTCACACTCACCTTCAGCCCTTCACTCACCCTCACTGAACCTCACGGCCCTCACGCCCCTCACTCACTCATGGCCCTCACGCCACTCACTGCCCTCACGCCACTCACCGCCCTCACGGCCCTCACCGCCCTCACGGCCCTCACCGCCCTCACCGCCCTCACGGCCCTCACGGCCCTCACCGCCCTCACGGCCCTCACGCACTCATAGCCCTCACCGCCCTCACGGCCCTCACGGCCCTCACGTCACTCACCGCCCTCACGCCACTCACCGCCCTCGCGCCCCTCACCGCCCTCGCGGCCTTCACACCCCTCACGCGCTCATGGCCGTCACGCCAATCAGGCCAGCTTCAGACGGGGCAATTTCGCCCAGAAACTTTACGTCGCAACACCAGCAACACGGGCCGCCCGCGATCACACGCAGCAACCAATTGCTGCAATTTGCCATCGTCATCAGAAAATTTGGTTTTTCTTGCTCTATTTAGACACAATTACGCGTTATAAACGTGTTTTATGCATTTAAATCTCGTTAAGAATACTAATGCACCTTTCTGAAACAGTTTATTTCCAAAAAAACGATCGATTTCAAACCAGAACCAATTCTTTCGGTGTCATCATCACCGGCACGAGGTATCACATGAAAATTTTGCGTCCCTGATTGGATGCAGCCGCTTCAAACGTATTCAAATTTCTCCGAGTTGCTTGCGTATTTCGAGCCGGACCCGATCTCAGCAATTCGTGTCGATCTAGGGAAAGCTAGAGAACAACCCGCCATTAACACCAAAATTGCTGAGAAAGATGCTCGAAATGAAGGGCGCCTCACGCACTCACCGCCCTAACGCGCTCATGGCCCTCACACCCGTCACGCACTCACCGCCCTCACACTACTCCCGCACTCATGGCCCTCACGCCACTCTCCGCCCTCACGCCTCTCACGCACTCATGGCCCTCATACCCCTCACCGCCCTCACCGCCCTCACGGCCCTCACGGCCCTCACCGCCCTCACCGCCCTCACGGCTCTCACGGCCCTCACCGCCCTCACAGCCCTCACGGCCCTCACCGCTTTCACAGCCCTCACGGCCCTCACCGCCCTCACAGCCCTCAAGGCCCTCACTCACCCTCACTCACCCTCACACTCATGAATTTTCCTGGTTCAGAAACTCACTCACCCTCACCTCACGTGTGAAGATGAGGGTGAGTGAGGGTGAGTGAGGGCCCTCATGAGTGAGGTTTGCCGAGGTATGGTCTGGTAGTTTGTTCCCAAAGACAGTTTCTTCTTTTTTCAAAGGCCCTAATTTTTAGGATTTTTGAAAGTCTTCGCAGAAACACCCGGTATATATAATATAAACGTAATATACAACGCGTTACCAAGGTTGAAAGTACTAAATTTATATTTCTGATTATCCCCGTAACCGCGGGACTAAGCGCAGTCCCGCAGCTCCCCACACTTTTTGAATGAACCGGCTCCAAATTTCCGATGCGACATCTTCCCTCGTACGGGCTCTGATTCTGGTAAATTTACGTTGCGTGTGAGCTGCTGACAGCATGTAAAGGTACGCTGAGACATTTCAGAAGGGAAAGAAACCGAAAAAAAAAAAAATCCATTCATCGCCGCTGGGAGGGAGCGCACACGAGGAAGAGATGGGTCGACACACTGCTGGTGCTGCTCTCACGCGTGTGTGTGTGTGTGTGGTTTTGTGCTACCCATCGTTTTTTTGTTTTTTTTTTTTGTCGTCACCGCAGTCTCGGGTAGATTTTTTTTTTGTTCGCTTGATACTACGGCATTTACGTGGATTCGCGAAACAAGTCCTGCTACGGTTTGACTGATGTGTGTGGCAACTAGTCAACGATGACACTGGCCGATGACCTCTCTCGACAGAGAGAGACTTCTTGAAGTTCGTGTTAAAATTTTTTCGTGATGGATCGTGTGGGACGTATGGATGCGATCGACAGGTGAGGAACAACTTATTTACCAGCTTTCTTGGTCACGTAAGACGCAAGTAAAGTGCTGCAGTCGATTTTTTTTTTCTAATATCGTGATAGAATGGACTTTCGTTCTTCGTCATTATCCGTTTGCTATTGCGTTGACATTTATAATTATGCGTGGTAATATTCTAGCTTTTACTGGAAGGTAAATAACAAGTTTGTGTGATTATTGAAAGTGCGTTGTTTGTGCTTATGTGTTTATTTATACTAATGATATTTATGGCCTTTACCGCGTTTATACTAGAATCTTAACCGTATTAAGGTGATAGTACTATTGTATACATAATAGGTTATATTTTGTTCTTAGGCACCTCGAGCCCATAGGGAGAATTAATTTAGTTGACTGTAAATAGTAAGTTTAGTACCCCTGCCACGCGGAAAAGTTAATATATTTTGATTAAATAATACGGGATTTAATCAGCTCGCTGTTTTGAGTGATTATATGAGCGTCGCAAGCTGATTTGTCGGCCCCATATTTTCATTCGATCGAGATTACATTACTTTTGCCATGTGGCCGGTGTATGATGCAAGAATTCAGTGACTGCACGCGATAACATCGCTTACATGATCGTAAGTGACATTCCTCTAGCCGTGTCCGCGTTGACTACGTCTACTTGATTTTTCAATGTGACCTGTTTTGCTGTGTCCAATCACTGCGTGTCTTGCCATTTTGTCGAAGTATTTCTGTGTAAAATATGCATTCCTGCAGCAATAATTGCGTGAATCAATGTTTTCTCTTCTACGCCTTCTTCGTACCATTTCATACCGATCACTTAGCGGTGTAATATTTTGCCCGTGTAGTAAAATATTCTCGAGACCCGTTGCTATGTGCAGCTTTCATTTTAGCAGATAAGACACGCGTATGTGACTAAAAGCGCGTTACGACGGTCGATCCACGCGCGTTGCCTTCGCTTCGCCGCGCGCCCCTGATGGCCTTCCCTCGCGACGTCGCGAGTAGAGCGCTACGGCCTTGTCTTCTAGGAGGTGTTGAGGGGGGGGGGGGGGGGGGGGGGGGTCGACGGAGAGGGGGAGAAATAGCTTACATAGCGAGCGCGAGTTTTAGTAGACCGTGTTTCCCGCTCCGCTAAGCCCCTCCGCTACCCGGAACTGTACAGCCAAGGCCATCGGCGCGCAGGCGCAGTGGCGGTTTCTTCGTAGCGGAGGGCTAGCGGAGCGGGTAACACGGTCTACTAAAACTCCTTAATAGGGAGTTTTAGTAGACCGTGTTACCCGTAGACCGTTTTTCTCCTCCGCTACGGTATCCGTGAAGAAAACGCCGCAGCTGCGCATGCGCGCCGCCAGCCTTGTCTGCATAGTTCAAGGTTTTGTAGCGGATAAAGGAGCGCTATGCGGGTGCTTAGCGGGCTGCGGAAACGGCCTACTACAATTTCCCAATGTTTGTGAGAGGTGACGGTGCTAGCGAGGGAGTAATAAGTAACAACGTAGCGGCGCTGTCACCCTCTTCCCATGATCACGAAAGCTTTTGCGTAAAGACGCCGCCAGATTTCGCCGTTAAGAGGAATTAGAACAGCTACAGCAGAAAATAAGAAGTTGGCCCAGAGTTTTGACGTTTGTTGTTTTAAGTTAATCTATCGTTTGCTCAAGGTGTAATCCTGTATCCACTGATACCTACCTCAGTTTTAACATACAAGACTAAAATCGTCTCTTCTAAAGAAGTAGAGGCAAAGACACACTGGGTCAGTCCTAAGACATTGGGTCGGCTGACTCATCAATCATATATTTTTTGTTCTTGGCTTCTGTTCTACTTTCCTTCGCATTAGAAAGAAAGCCTCCCGACAATTTAAATTTTGCGAAGTACTCCCATTAAAATAATGGCGACGGGATCATGGTGCTCAACGAGGAACATGAAGGGGTGATCCAGCGTAAGGCTGACACCTTCCATTCCGGCGTCGGCCGCCGTCTCGTCCCCTTCTTCATTCACGTCCAGCACGCACTTGTGGATGGCGCTGGAGAAGAGCGGGCACGGGGGGAACGCTCATGCCAGACAGGTCTGCACGTTCCGTGAAGAGGTCCGTGGCACCCATCACACTCAGCGTCTCCTTCAGGTCGATGGTGTGCTCCAGCTTGAACTTGGGGAGCCTCAGTTCAATGCGCATGGGCCGCGTGACGTCCCTCAGGAGGCGGGTCAGCTTGTACGGCGTCAGTTGTTTCACGAGGTTCGTGAGACCGTCCACTTTCTCCGGAAAGAGAACCACGAGGGACATCTTGCCGCCCCTGTAGGGAATCTTGAGAGCGGTGACCTTGAGCTCGTCGCTGTAGCACATCATGAACGTGCCCCGCCGAAACATCATGTCCACGGCTTTGGTGGTTGTGGCGTCCTCGTGAAACGCTACCCGGGACGCAGCGTCCAGTCTGAACGGGGAGTCCCAGAAGCCCCTGAAGTAGACCGCGTTTGCCAGGACCACCTGCGTCGTTTTCTGAAAGGCGTTCAGAGGCAGGCAGTTCCTGATCATGAACTTGGTAGTCTCGGCAACCCATGAGTTCACCTGGCAGCGGGAGACGTTCGGGTCGCCTCTGAATTCGATGCCTTTCATGGAGCTCTTATATATCTTCTTCAACAGGCAGGCGAAGTCCTCCAGAGGACTGAATTCGAAAGAAGCGTAGATTCGACTGGCGATAAACAGCATCATTTCCGGCGGCAGAAAGCAGAAGCGGTCAAAGAAGACGCAGAATTTATCGTGGACGTCGGGGTCTTTCACGTGTAAGAGGTGGCTAATCTGCTTCTGCGTGTTGTTCCTGGCTCCCGCATTGATCATGGACAGGGCGGCAGCGATGCTGAATGGGGAGCATACGATATTGCTGTTGGTTCCCTCCTCAGCTTGAAGCTGCTTGTACAAGTTCACAGAAAATGTGAAGAGGAAATCGCTCGCTAGAGGCGACACTTCTTTTGCTGTACCTGAACGAAACAGACATATATTTGTAAGCTTCTGTGCCCGGAGGTACAGTGAGAAAGTAACTTCGCTGCGCGGAGTACAAAATGCGCCGCCGCATTTGTCAATGTCTCAAAAGTCGGTAGAGCGCTACAATAATGAGTAGAAACTAAAACGGCAGTCATGACCAGGACACCAGGACAACCGTGACTCATGATCGCTTCACGAAGCTATTTCTCGCATTGCTTGCCACGCTGTGCACTGCGAACAGTTATCGGCGATTCTGTCATTAGAGAGTTTTAGTAGATCGTTCCCATGACTCCGGTAACGATACCCGATATTCCGCCACCGCCTCCCCTGCGCATGCATAGTATCGTTATCGGGGCTATCGGAGGTATCGGAACGATCTACTAAAACTCTCTATTAGTATAGAACTTTTTCGTGTACTCTCGTCCCTGCAGCCACCTAATAGGCGTATCCGGTATGGGCGACAAAAAAAATCAAAACGTTTCAACCTGCAAATAGTAAAGAAATAGAGGGGAGGAAAAACGAGAACGTGTGACGATTACGTTTATGTCCTAAATGCCTTCTATTGGCGTGGCGACGGCAAAACAATGTTTTCGCCCATACTGGAAGTGACGACAATTCAAGATGGCGGTGCTCTTGCGAAAAAGGTCTGTAGGAGGTATTCACTGGACGCCATATTTGAGGGCAATGTTTAGAGCGCATGCTCAGAACGAGCTCAAATTAATAGCCTGCTAAGACCGGCAACCTTGATGGTGCTAAATGCACGCTCCAAAAGGACTGCGGAAGCTCGCCATCAGCACCCGCTCAGCAGCAGCGCACACGGATATGGCCGCCAGTGAATACTCCCTATACTCCCTATAGGAGGTATTCACTGGACGCCATATTTGAGGGCGATGTTTAGAGCGCATGCTCAGAACGAGCTCACATTAATAGCCTGCTAAGACCGGCAACATTGACGGTGCTAAATGCACGCTCCAAAAGGACTGCTGAAGCTCGCAATCAGCACGAGCTCAGCAGCAGCGCACACGGATATGGCCGCCAGTGAATACTCCCTATAGTCGGCTTGCACATGACGTTATCGCACTGTGCTGGGCCGGTTTGCTCATCTTGCGGCTGCGGTCGCGGCTGCGGCCAAGAGGGATTTTTACGTCACGTGACCAGCTCCATGGGGACAAGGAAGTACCTAGCGTCCCTGCCTTATGGCGGAGAGATCCGCATCGCTTCAAGCACAAAAGCCTAATTTCGCTCGCAGAAACTGATTGCAGGGACTTTCATCTGGAATCCAATTGACCGCCCCTTTATACTGTAGGACCGGCAGGTAAAGTTACTGCCAAGGAGAGTAAATAGGAGCCAAAATAAAGAAGAACCCACAGGAGATAAAAGCGGTAGCAGTATATTTATCTATCTCCGCTGGCGCCGGCGCCTCGAGCCTGCTGCTATGGTCGAGAGGGTAAAGCGGCGGTACTTGTCGTCGCGGCGTGAAAGTTCCGGGTTCAAATCGCGCTAGAAACTTTTTTTTTCTTTTTTTTTTTTTTTTGTGCGCGTTTTACTTTTTAGCTGCGATCCTTTTTAGGAAATCATCCACTTGCACCAGTGCGCCTTACACGGTTTTTTCTGTTAGTCCCACCTGTTCAATCGAAACATCGGGAAGAAAAAAAAAAAAGATGAACGCAAGTTAACGCGCTAATACAATCATTTCATTCCATTTGTTGGTCCAAAGTCATTTTAGAAGTTTGCATTAGAGTGAGGGACCTAAAATGACTTTGAATCATAAATGGAATTAATTATTGTGAATTCCATTTATTGTTCCAAAGTCATTTTAGGTGTTTGCATTAGAGAGAGGGTTTGCGATGTCGACGCCTGATTCATTTTTGCATTCGGTTGTGATCGTCCGCTAATCTAACTAAAATTCAACAAGTAATGTGGTAATATTACAAAACGATTGCCACAACAAAATGTAAAGAGTATAAATATACTCTTTACCACATTCCATGCAAGTAAAAGTATGATCGCTTTTATTTCGGTTTTACTACTTTCTCAGACGTTTGACTTGCTGCCTTGCCTGTAGGATTTCGCTCAATCAGTGTAGCCACAGTTGCTAGTCTTTTTTTTTTCTTTTTGCTTGTTTTTTTTTTTTAAATTGTCACAACTGCACTTTTTATTAGTCCTAAATAGGCGTCTCCTGTTATTAAAAGGAATCGTAGCAAGAGTGTTGTATATTTAAAGACACATAAAACTAGTTGCTGGGGAAAGGATGCTTGTTTCGGCTCCGTTAGTGTGAAAGTCATAGCGATGCTGTTATCTTGGTTTCCTTTTAATGAACATTATGAAATGATTGTATTAGCGCGTTAACTTGCGTTGATCCTTTTTTTTTTTCTTTCTGATGTTTCGATTGAACAGGTTAGACTAAAGGCCCGTTCACACTCTTGCGACGGCTTGCGACCTCTTAAACCTGGGTTCCTTAAAACTTCTTAAACCAGAGAACACACTGGCGCCATCTATTGGGAAGCAGTGTAAGCTCGGCGATCCGGCATATTTTTTTTTTTTTATTTCTCGCGCAATATCCTTTCTTTTTTGGCTCGAAAAACTTTTGTCAATGTTATAAACGAGCCTTTGTATGGGTATTACGCAAATTTGACCTCGGAAATCCCGCAAAACCCTCGCTTTTGTGAAATGCAGTTCTAGGGTCACCGCATAGATGGCGCCACAATGTCAGTGTGTTCCCTCATTCTAGAAACATTTAAGAAGTTGTAAGAGATCTCGTCTCTCTCAGTCGTACTCGGTCGCAAGAGTGTGAACGGGCCTTAACAGTAAAAGCCGTGTAAGGCGCAGTAGTGCAAGTGGATGATATCCTAAAAAGGATCACAGTTAAAAAGTAAGACACGCGCAAAATACAAAAAAAAAAGTCCCTATAGTCAGTTACGGGTTAAAGGGCCCATGAAACGATTTTTGGGTTGGGATAAATCATTTTAGATTGGGATTTTACTAATAGCACATCGTTCAGTGAGCCAAAAGAAAAAAAGTAGAAAGTCAAAAGCCTGACTTTCAGTGCGAAAATTTGAAAACAGGGCGGACTATTTCGTACCTCCTCCCCTTCGCAACCTCTCTGCCTTTTCACTGTGATACATCCGCGGTCCCAAAAGCGCGTCGTCGGGTCCAAACTGACGTCACACGCAACCGGACCTCACTTATTCCCTTCACCCCTAAGCTGACATTGTGGTGGAAGCTACGCGCTTGCCGGACCAATCAGCCGCCTCCCTTTCATCACCTGACTTCATTCTCTGCAGCCACATTTGCCACGCTCACGTGGCAAGTGTGGCTGGCCCAACGAGCACATAGCTTCAACAGCACTGTCAGCTTCGGAATGAACGGGGTGGGGAAAGCAAGTTTTGTCTGAATTTTGAGCGACGGGCTAATCTTCTAGGGGGAGAATGGATGTGTCCGGATTACACAAACGAGGGTGCGAGCAAGAGGGGGCTCCCCCTTTTCGTCTTCTTTAACTGTTTGGTGGAATGCGCGATTTATGAGTTGAGGAGGAAAGCTGAACTGGAAAAAGTTGGAAAAGTGTTTCATGACCCCTTTAAGAAGGTAGCGGCAAATGCCCCTCAAAAGGAATCATATATCCCTCCGCCATCTCCGCATCCAATAGCGTCCCACCGTTTCCGTGACGTCGCGGCCAACGCGCGAGGAGGGCCTTGCCTTTCTGTACATATTTGCTTTATCTTTCGACTTTGACTTAGCATTGTGGAAGCCACGAGAGGGAGATTAGAGTTCTCCCCCACCGACGGAAACAAATACGACTTTCGGGGATTAGCTTCCCCCCCGATGGATACAAAGGCTGCTTTCAGGGGCTCGGTTCCCTCTCCGATGAATACAAAGGTCGCTTTCTTTAAAAGTGGGATCGGAGACAAGTTGGAATCCATGATAATGCAGTGATTGCGCAGGCGAGCTGGTGGATGTTAACCATTTTGTTCTTAGCCCGAGACTGAGGCAGGAAAAGAGGAAAGTTTCGAAGTAGAAGAAAAATGAACAGTCGAGGACACGTCTCTATCGGAACAAGGAGTGTTTCCAGTGAACTCTTCTTTCGACTGCGGAGAGATTTGAAACGGACGCATCACGCTTGTGGGAGGAGCTTCTCCTACCTTCTTGACTTGTAACCGACTATAGTGCGATTTGAACCCGGAACTTTCACGCCGCGACGACAAGTACCGGCGCTTTAACCTTTCGACCGTAGCAGAACGCTGGAGGCGACGGCGCCGGCGGAGGTAGATAAATATGCTGCTACCGCTTTTATCTCGTGTGGTTTTTTCTTTATTTTGGCTCCTATTTACCCTCCCTGGCCGTAACTTTACCTGCCGCTCCTACAGTATAACGGGGCGGTCAATTGGACTCCAGTTGAAAGTCCCTGCAATCAGTTCCTGCGAGCGACATTAGGCTTTTGAGCTTGAAGCGATGCGGATCTCTCCGCCATTAGGCAGGGACGCTAGGTACTTCCTTGTCCCCATGGAGCTGGTCACGTGACGTAAAAATCCCTCTTGGCCGCGGCCGCGGCCGCAAGATGAGCAAACCGGCCCTGGTGGTCACTCCTACAGTGGTTCTTGCCAAGGGTGGTGTGAATACGTGCTGCAGAAGGGTGCGCGCTCTGCTTCGAGGTAACCATAATGGCAGGTGATGCGAGGTTAATGCAAGATGTGAGTGGTTTGAGTAGCTTTGAACGCAACTAACTAAAATGTCTGAGACAGGGCATTAAAGGGCAGCTCCAGTCAATATGACTAAAATGTCTGAGCCAGGGCATTAAAGGGCAGCTCCGGTCAATATTTGCAGATTTGAAATTATGACTGCTTTTAGCTCAGTCTATGTCCCTAAATATATATTTTTTCTCCATGTTGTGTGTAGGCTTTTAAATATCACGGCTCAAAGTGTGTTGAGAGGGATGGCAACACAGATAATCAGACGTCACGTCGGTGCTGTGGTACGCGGCATGACATGCTGCTAACCT